TCTGAGATCTTTTGCAGTTTATATCCTCATTGACCTCAACAGCATTACCTGCAAGAAAAAAATGATACAGTTAAATGATTATGTTTAATAGAAATAAAGAATGGAGTAACTAGAAAGATTGTTTTGGTCTTTTCTATCTTAGAAAGATCATCCATAAAGCAATTTTTTCTGTGAAAGCATCCAGATGGAAAAAAAGCTAACATAGATGTTATGAGTCAAATTTTGTTGTATATGATAATCATACAACAAAACAAATTAGTATAGATGATTATGCTATCTATGTTATCACTAACTAAGAACTAACATAGATGATTATGTTGCTTTTGAATTCTGAAACTAAAACAAGAACATGCATACCTGCAATATCAATTCTCCTCTCTTTCTCTTGATCAATAACTGTAAGTGAATTCAAGTTGCTTTGGCTTAGGATAGCAAAAGAGTTTCTATTGAGCTTTTTCTTGCTTATACTACTAGAATTTGGATGCAGTCCACGATCTAAAAGAAGCCACTCACGTGCATAAGTTGCAAGCAAGCTAGTATATAATTAAAGTATATAGTAAACAAATGTGTTTTACCACTACCTTTGGTCCCATCAGCATCTATATCTCTGATGCAGCTCATACAACGCCACCATCTAAACTTTGGGACTGATAGAGAAGGTAGAGAATAGCTTTCTTGGTCCACCAAACTAACACTCTCCTCCGGAAATGGCCAACATTTGTTATGATCTCTCTCACGTGTTTCAGCAACGAATCCACTGCATCAAATTTAAAAGAAGAAAAAGTCACGAATATATTCAATGTCATTTCAACTTGTACCTTGCGGCTATATATATGCATTTGGAAGCGATCAAATTATAAACATATTCTAACATAAAAGGTTGATATAGAAGGCTCACCGTATGGAGAAATGATCACATTTTACCATATTAATCTCCTTGGCACCGCCTGCAAGATCTATAGATATTGAGTTGATCTTTATGGAGGATCCCATTGATTGATTTGCTTCAAGAGTATTTTGATGTCTTAGTGATTATGATTAACTAAGTTCCACCATTATACTCTCTACACAACAAGCGCTGCAAAAAATATACATGATAATGAAAAACACATAACTCTAAATTGAATTATGACACCGTTTCAAAATCTTTACTTTCCTTATATACGCAAAACACATATAACTCTAAATTGAAGTATGACACCATCATATTCAAGCATATTCCATGAATATCCACATAAAATAACATTCCATAACTAAAATCTAATTACCTCTAAAATTCCACTGAAATTAAAAGTTTTAAACCCTAAGATCTACATAAAATCAAGAACAAAATTTCTTAACTAGCATCCCATGTCATAAAAAAAAATTAATCAATAGACATATATCAGTCAACAGTAACCTAAACTTAATCACAAACCTAAAATTAGGGTTTTCAGACACGTGAATAGCCTCCAAAGCTGTAACCTTTTTCAACATGACCAGAAAAAAAAACGATAACGGACCCATTTCAATATTATCTCAAATTTACAAACTGCACGAAACGTCAAAAAAATTACTTATCTAGAGGAAATTAGGGTTTAAATTCAAATTATTTAGAAACTAAATAACAGATAATAAAACACTTAACCGTATGTGATTAACCAAGATAACCGAAGACCCACTAATTAATACGGGGCAGATCTATCCGCACGTGAATAGTCCGTGAATGATATGAAAAAACTAAATTAAAAAAAAAAGGTAAGAACAGCGAGTTTTTTTTCGAAGAAACGTATAAATGAACAGTGAAGAGCCCTCGAGAAAGAAAAAAAAAACACGAAGTCAGCAACAAGTCAAGCTAAATCTATTACCGCAAGATCGAACCATACCTGAAACCTTAAAATCGAACAGATCAGAGATTCATGTCGGAGACACGCACCTGGGAGAAAATCCGACCGGAGTTAATCAGAGATGCGAGATTCGAGCTCGATCTTAAGCGGCAAGGGGAGAAAACCACATCGTAAGATTCAGAAGTTTGTGGATAAGAAGATTAGCTAAGCTTCGAGTGTTGATTCGTCGGGAGAGAGTAGAATTTGACTGCGAATTTTCGAGAAACCCTAAGACGACGTTGAGGAGAGAGAGAAAGGGGGGAAATTTTTTTTTTGTAGAGAGAGACTGTTGAGAAAGAAGAGAGAGAATCTGAAGTTCATTTATCCTTGAAACGAGGGTTTGTTTATATTTTCGTATTAACACAATTTTTTTTAAAAAAAGCAACTCATCTCTGGAACATTACACTGCCATGTCACCATCTGGTCTGTTTATTACCAATTACACGAAACAAGATTACGTACCTCTCCACATATTGTCGACACGTATATGTATTGGAGCAATAGTTGAAAATGATACATTTCTATCTATGCGATATTTCTTATTTTTAGTGGGAAAATCTAAACGCTTAAATAAATAGCTTCATTAGGGTAACAGGTAGCGAAAGAGTTAAACGAAGATCATATAAATATTATTATAAGATTTTATTGTTTTATTATTTAAGGAAACCCCATATTAGTTAGGGGACCCTATTATTTAGGTTTAAAATAAAAATTCATATGCCTATAGTCAAAAAATTCATATAGGCGATTCTGTTTTATAAAATGAGGCACAAGAAACCAATGAGAAATGTCCACGTGCCCGCAATATGCGGTTCTTATCACAATCCATTTGCTGTGTCCTGAAAATGAAAACCCTAGGCGCGTAGCTAGCACGGCGCTTTCTCTTCGCGTGTGAGCACGTTTGGTCCGTGGCGCGGGTCGGGATGGGAGCGTCGGCACGGAGGAGGAACGAGATTGGAGCGTATGGTTCTCGTGGAGGAAGAGAGAGTGGGCGAATGATGGGACCAGATAGACAAATAAAAGCCCTAAAAGCATGATAATATTGTATGGGTAGGTGATGTTACCCTAGAAGAGCCCATTTCCTCGATAAATGATACTCCTTCCGTTTCTTTTTATAAGATGTATTAGAAGGTTTATGTTGTTTCAAAATATAAGATATTTTGAGATTTTAAGGTATATTTTAAAATTTTAAGGTTAACTTTAACTTTATTGAAATTTGTTCAACCAATAAAATTTTCTTATCTTTTTTTTTTATAATTGGTTGAATGATTTGAAAAGTATATCATTAAAAGTATTTTGAAAAAGAATATAAATATCTTAATCTTCGTAAAGTTAACCAAAACATCTTATAAAAAGAAATGGAGGGAGTAATATATTTGACCCTAATACCTCTTTTTCACCTTACCAAAATTTACCACAGTAATTAATGAAGATCAATAAACCTTGGTTCACATAAAACCAGTTTCTTTCTCTTTTTATATCTTCTATATATGTGTGTATATATGTAATAACAAACAATACAAATTGTCAAAAAAATGAAATAATTAATACTGCGTAGATGTATTTTTTATTATTGATTTCTGTTTTTTCGGTGGTAGAATCATCACATGGTACACCAACCAAATTGATACCCTGTGATGTAAGCGAACTTTAACTAAGAAAAAATCCAGCTTAATTGATATTCAGTAGTTGACTCTATTTTGGATATCAATTAATGGTTATAATACGTATTTGGATTTGACTGTTAATCAGCTAATGCGGTTTTTCGTTTAAATTTCCATGTACTGGCACATACACACGTATATATTAGAGCAATTTAGCTACAAACCATAGAAAAATGTTGAATTAGCAAAATATCAAAATAATATCATCATGGGTGTACGCTGCACAGGAGGAGATTGTAGAAAGATCAATATACCTTGTCCGCTCAACCTCAAGGCTTCTCGGATTTAGCCACTCCCTGACAGAAGATCAGTGTTAGATTTGGATAGATAATAAAAAGATTTTGTTTACATTATCGCAAGTTGCATTGGTAAAGTAAAAACTCCCCTGCTACAGAAAATCTCTGACCCAAACGGTGCACCTGTAGATGAAATCTAGTCAAAGATTACGCTCAGATTTTATTAGGTTTTAGAGAAAATAAAAATTAAAAACTTTTCAGTTTCCCTGCACGTCAATATATCAGACTTAGACGGTATCTATTTTTTCCAGGAAAGACAGTCGAGTTTGTGGAAAGGATAATTCTCCGATTCTGTTAAATCTAAGAGAGCTTTTGTCAAAGGTAATGAAGATTCTTACCTAGCTTTAAATGTAGAGAATGTATTTAAAAGATGGGACACTTAGTAGATTCCGTTCATGTTTGTTGATATTAAACTTGTCGAGCATTTATTTCATTTTTTTCTACTGAAGATTTCAACAGCTATTGCGTTTGGTCTAACCTAATTTTTTTATTGGCAGGGATGGGTCGTGTTTTCAGAATATGGCGTGGTGATTGGAAGAAGAACGCTCAAGATCAGTGGTATTTTGTGCCAAACCATGAAGACTACGGTTTCACAATATACATGGATTCTCCTGAAACTTTCCCGGTGATCAATTCTACAGTTCAAGAATACTACATGCTCACTTCGGTAACTCCTATTCTGATAACCTATAGCATGCCTAACTGGATGCTCCTCCCCAGCAGACCTTCCGCGCCCAGAACCCTTGCTTCAACATCAGACCTTGTCGAGTTGATGAACCAGCGACCACCGCTAACTGACATAACACTCCTGTGTACTATAGGTGCGAAGAGTGTTGCAGAGTTTCATTTTCTCACTCGTTCTGATTTCAGCATAGGATTCTCGACCTATGTGGTTGGAGATGGTCAGGATGATATAGCCAGAGCAAGATACGAGGGTAAGTCACGTTTACAACTTTGGATATTGATACATTATTTTTTCTAGTCATTGGTTGATAATGATATTAAATATGGTTATTCCAGGCTTGGTGTTGGGTGAGAGACTTCTGCTCAGTGAGAGTGTTCTCGCGGAGATATTTGGAGAAGAAAAGATGGTTATAATCCACCGTGTTGCTCTGGAGATGGCTCATGCTGAGAGGTAAAGGCAATATCAGACAGGGTCTGCAATAGTCCAAAGAATGGAGATCATTCAACTTAATGATGATGATGATGATGATGAGATGGTTGATACTTTTCAGGATGGAGTGACATCAAATGGAACCCAAGGACCGCCTGGAGGTAAGAAATTTCATATCTGGCTAATAGATTGAGAGAAGTAGCCAATAATTTTGTTGGCCGGATGGTACTTTTCATTACCTCCAAATACTAATTTATGTGATGTTATCTATTTCCACTATAGGGACTACCATTCCCTTCCAACCCTAACCTCTTCCTCCAATCCATTCCGCAGATGCACCGTCAGTACTTTGGGATGTTGGGCTTGACTTGTTGGAGTACCCTGAGTACTACAACAACCAGAGGAATGTCTGCCATGTCACAGAGGACACTGAGTTTTGGAATGGCATAATTGAAGAAAATTTCCAAACAATTGGTGGAGTTCAAGCAATCCCAACAACAATGAAATCGCTCATGGGATGACTGAAGAAGATACCACTATTGCAGCTATGGAATATGTGTGAAAGGCAAAACAGATTTCTACGGGATCTTGTAGGAGACTTATAAAGTTCAATTCCCAGGTATGAGTTTGAAATGCGTTATCTTCAAGAGTGAGTGGTACGACCCCGTCGTCAACAGAGGTGTTCGGATTAACAAGAACGGTGTAGTTGATGTCAATGGTGGACGAAGGTACAACAAATCCTTTTTTTTTTACATCCAGGTTTCGAGTACTAATTAATTTTTACATCCAGATTCCCTGGCTAAACAGGCCCTGTTGGAATCTGTTTTGTAATGACTTTGTTGGGCCACTCTTGGGCCGTGTTTCTTGCTTTTAGTTTTAATGAATTTCAGTGACAAAAAAAAAATTAATTTCTACGTTGTCTTTATTTTTGTAGGTATAATAAATTCGAGCTTTTCATATTAGCTTCCCAAGCAGATTAAGTTTGCTTCATTCCATACCCTCGGATTACTAACTCGGGAATAAACTGGTTAGCTGTTATCAAAATTACACCTCGAGGACGAATAATCGCTGGAGAAGAACCACCATTACAAGAAGAAAACACCAATGAAATCGAGGAACCTGAAGAAGAAATTGATGACTAACTACTCATTGATCTGCATAATCGTGAATACGAAGATGTTCCTGATCAAAAGACGGACGAAGGTGTTGAGGACGAGTTTTATGAAAATGATGATGTTTCAACAGATTACGAGAATGTATCCAAATGAACTATGTATGTTTTATAAGTTTGTTTAATCACAAAAATAAATTTGAATTATATGTATGTTTTAAGTTTGTTTAATCACAAAATTAATTTGAATTTGGGGTTTATGTGTAGAAGAGGTTTGGAGTTTGGTTGTAGAAGAGGTTATAAGTTAAGGAAGTTGTGGTTTGCGGTTTGGGGTTTCAAGTTTAGGGATTTACAAACCCTTTCCTCGTAAAACCCTAGTAACAGAAAACACGGGCATAGTTATTTCCTCGTAAAGGTTGTTTCCTTGTAAAGTCCTAGTAACAGTGTTACTAGGACTTTACGAGGAAATAAAAACAAGGGCATAGATATTTCCTCGTAAAGGCCTCGAAACCCTAAACGCGGGCATAGTTATTTCCTCGTACACTTACTAGGAGCTTACGAGGAAACAAAATCCCCTATATAAACTCGAGCCATCCGATTTCTCTCATTTGTAGCAATCTTCTCTCTAAATCCTCTTAAGGTTCTCTCTATTTCCTAGTTAGGTGATTAGATTATGAAATTTAGATTATGTGGTTAGTTTAGGAAATTTAGATTAGGTGGTTAGTTTAGGGAATTTAGATTATGTTAATTTAGTTTTTTTTAACTTTTTTTTAAATGATACTAGTATATTAATGTTTTAATTTTTTTTTTTGAAATTTAGAAGACTAGAAAGAGCAAGCTTGATAGGGCTAAGAGGCCTCTTCAGGGGAGTCACTATGGAGATATGTTCGGTCGTCAGCCTGGTCCTCAGATAGGCGCATCGTCTTCTTCAGCTCCCGGTTCTTCGATTCCGGATGACGTTGTTCCCGAGATTCAGGGAGTTTCTACGGCTCCACCTCCTCCTCCTCCTCCACCGGTTCATCCCGATTTGGAGGTGCCACCAAACGCTCCATTTGCGGTGTACATAGTGGAAGATATTATGGCCCTTCTAGGCAGAGAAGGGCGGCCTGAGTTAGATCCTATCCGACGGGATGGCCACAACATATAATGGTATGTTTAAATTTTAAAAAGTGTTTTTAATTTATTTCTTAATTAACCAAAAATTTACAAATTATAATCTAATTAATGTTTTCATTTTGTTTCTTTTCAGGTTTGGTCTTGACGGATGTGTCGCTCAGAGCGTCATGGATTGTATCAAGGGATACTTTCCCGATCCGGCTCCAAACTGGAAAAAGACGCCCAGCCACACAAAAAGACGTGGTTCAAATCGTTCGCTGTAAGTCATTAATTAATAAACTTAATTTATTTTTAATTATTTAAAATTTTTAATATGATTGAACTAATTACTCTAATTTTTTCTGGTTACAGCAAAAAATATCGTTGGTCTATAGGGATTCACCAGCGGGTGAAGACGGAGTTTGAGGCGAAGGCAAAAGCGCGATTGCTCGACATGGTCTACACTTGGAAGGGAGACTTTCAGGTGTGGATTTATAAATTATATATATTTAGTTTTATATCATTGACTTTAATTCAAATCATTTTAAAATTATTTTTTGTTCAGGTGGATAGTTATGAGGAGGGGAAACCCGATTGCCTCCCATTCGACGTGTGGGATGGCCTCATCAGATATTGGGGGTTGCCGGACTCGGTCAGAACCTCCCAGAAAAACTCCGATAACAGCATGACAAGAGACGAGCATGGCAACACAAAGATGCTTCACATCGGGGGTCGAAAACCTCACGGGGGAGTCCGTCTAGACATGGTAAATTAATTTTTAATAACTAATTAATTTTTACTCTATTTGTATATTCCTAATTAATATTTACTTTTAAAAATTATTTTTAGGCTAAAGAGACAGTAGTTCTTCCATCTCTGAAAGAGCTTTACGAGAGGACCCACCGGAACAAGGCTGAGCATTTTGTAGATCCTAGATCCGAGCGGATATACAACGAGGTTGTTGTTCGGGTTGACCAACGCCAGACCCAGCTGACTCAGCAGTCTGGGACTGCAGTCATCTTATCCACTTTTGAAGTGGATAAGATTTACGAGGAGGTAAAAAATTTGTTTTTCTAATAATTTTTATTATTTATTTAATTTATTTTTTTAACGTTATTAATCTTTTTATTTATAAGTCGCCCCTAGGAAAAAGGGACGTATCGTCGGGATTGGTTCCGTTAACGATGTCCCCACAGCGACATCGTCTTATGCTCAGGAACAACACGATGTCACTGCTCAGCTGCGCTCGGAGTTGCAAGCGACGCAATCTCATGTGAGTTCTCTCACCGATGTCCTGGATGTTTTGGCGGTTGGAAATCTGCAATTGGCGGTTGCAAAACCGCAATTGGCGGAGATGTTGCGTGTGAGACGGGAAAACAGAGGGCTTCCAACCCAACAGCATCATCCACCGTCACAGTCACAGCCGACGGAGGAGGAGTTGGCGAGCCGGGACGATTGCGTTCGGCAATTTAACGAGCATCATCCGTAGTTTTTTTATTTTTAATTGTATATTATGAATTTTAAAACTTAAATATTTAGTTATTTATAAAATATTTTGTTATTTCTTTTTTTTATTTATAATTTAGTTTTTTTTAATTTTTTTAAAATATATTATTTAAATTTATAATTAATATTTTTTTAATAGGGAAAAAACATTTCGAAGTAAACTCCTCGTAATATTTTCGAAGTAAAGTCCTCGTAAAATTTACTAGTAAGTTCCTCGTAAAGTATTACTACGAGTTAACGAGGAAATGTGTTACTATGACTTTACGTGGAAACATGTATGGGGACTTCACAAGGAAATTTGTATCCACGCGTTTACGAGGAAAAGTTTCCTCGTAAATTAGCTAGGACCTTACGAGGAAAAAGGCTTTACGATGAATATGTTTCGAGGAAACGTGTTTCCACGTAGGTTCCTAGTAAATGGTCATTTACTAGGAAATTACGAGGCAATGTGGTCATAGAAAAGGACGAGTTTTCTTGTAGTGAAACCCTAATTCTGGCGTAACTTTAAAGCGGCCGCTCTCTCAAACCGTAAGGATCCAGACAATGATCAATATATCAAATTGAAGCACTCGACGAGAGGAATCCATCAGTGCAAACCGTTTGTCAATCCGATCTCTGACGTGCCCTCGCGCTCACCTACAACACGCGTCGCCGATTTTCCTTTTCTCAGCCAGCCGTTTTGGTACTTCCTTTTCTCTACCAGCCGACCTAACCGACTTCCCTTTTCTCGGAAAGCACTCCGACCAGCCGCTTCCTTGTTTTCCTTTTCTCCGGTGGAAGCCCTAGCCGATTTCCTTTTCTCGGCAAAGCTCATCGACCAGCCGCCCTAGTCTTCCCTTTTGCGGCCAAGAACCCTAGGCGATCATAAAACCCGACCAGATGCTCAGCTCAAGAACTAGACCACAAATCTTCATCACAGCCGTGTTTCCTTCTCTCTCTAAGGTGTTCCAGTTTCAACCCTTCAAGAACAAAGGTATTCCTAAAACCTAAAGAACCTAGAAACCTAAATAAGAAATCTGAATTTGGAAATTAGAAATGCTAAGTTGAATGGATTGTTTAGGTTGCTAGATTGGAATCAATAAATCTGCTTTGATTGATTGTTTGATTGCTTGTTTAAAGTTTACTTAAAACCTAGAAGGATTGTTTAAAACCTAATTCATAAATCTAACTGTTTGATTGATGATTGTTGCTTGATGATTTGAGGTTTTATGTTGATAGCTTTTATGAAACCCTAATAGGGCCTTGAAAACCCTAAATCGTCTTTTGCTAAAAATCTGATTGATAGTTTTATGAATTGTTTAGAGGTTTTAAGAAATCATTAGCTAAAGATTGTTTTAAACTCTAATCTGGAAACCCTAGAAACCCTAATTCTATTTGATAGAATTGTTTAGGATTGTTAAAACCCTAAATATAATCTTGGATTAGTAAACCTTAAAGGAGGCCTTGAAAACCTTCAATTGAATCTTGTAACGCCATTGCAATTACCATAATTAATATCGGGTGGAGAATTGATTATTGATTGATTTTGATTAATTGATTGGTATCTTGTGAATTAAGATGCTAGAATTGTTTGATGCATTCATAAACCCTAAGTCATGATACTATTACCCGGCCTTGAAACCGACCTAGGTCTAAAACCTTGTCGACCTTGAAATCGACCTATGATTGTTTTTGCATCTCATCCTAGTGATCATACATGGCCATGTGACCTTAGCATATCGACCATATATATATATATTCCTTGTCCGCATTGTTTTGTTTTGGTCGCACCATGGTCGAAATATAAATTATTTTCGTCAAGTGACTTAG